CACCAGTAGGCAAGTAGGGTAAAGTGTCTTGCCCAAGGACACAACGACCAGGACAGAGAGCCCAGGGATCGAACCGGCGACCTTCTGGTTACAGATGCTATTCCCAACCCCCTGAGCCACGGTCGCCCGTACACATATAAGTTTTATTATATATAAACAAACCTGTTAATTAACCTGGTTAATTACATGATCAGAGGCAAAGACCTCACAGCGCAAGCATACTCCCAACCTATTATAAGACTATATATAATAATATACAATACAATGTATTTTATTTTAATATCTATAAACAAAAAAGAAAAAAAAAAGTCACAAGCAAAGTGGGAACACAGCACGGCACATGTTTAAACACATTTATTTATCAAAATCATCCATCCATCCATCTTCATCCGCTTTATCCGAGGCCGGGTCGCGGGGGCAGCAGCCTAGGCAAAGAGGCCCAGACCTCCCTCTCCTCCTCTTTGATTTATTAATCAAATAAACACAGCATGTATTTTTTTCACCCCTAAAAATACATGTTCAAAACACCACAACAGTACCCTGATAGCTCACAAAAATGTCACATGGAATTAAACAGAAGCTGGCAACTCAGCTCTGTAGAGTGGGCAATCATAAAGAAGCAGTTCATTTCAAGTTGTAGACGCAAGCTGCTCTTCATATTTTTGGTCACCAGATGTCACCAAAGAGGACTGTTTAGAAAAGCTTTCAGTGATGAACCGTTTTTCAATACGAGCTTCAGAAAGATTCATTTGGTCATTGGTAAACCTGAGTATCTGATCAGTGTGCATTCAGTCCTCTACTGCCACCTTCAGTAAGATAGCTGACACCTACCATGTGAATGCTTTCCCCTTTTTGAACACTGCAAAGACGGATATGGTTTCATCTTGATTATTTTATAACAGGCTCAAAGTTCAGCATTTGACACAGTGTACAACTGAACCAGAATCAACAATGGATGTTAAATGGATTTTTTGAGCATTACACTTTGATTAACACGGTTTACTTTTTGCATAACTCTGAGCATATATGAGGGATCTGGAGTTAACAAAGTTAAGGCCAGCAGGTTAATGATTTTCAAACTTCACCCTTGTAGTCTCACACAACTTTCCACGAGTAAGTCTCTTTCAAATTGTCTATTTTTAAGTTCTACATGCTTTTCTGATGTCTAGTTATAAAGTCGGATTATAGTATAATTTATTTCACTGACATAAATAAATCTGTGTAAATGTAATTAAACATTTTACAAATGAATGACAAAGGTTTAAAATATTTCATTTGAAAGCAGAAAAGAAAGTTTTGAAAGTGAAAGTATACTGTAGAGGTCTGGGCAGAGTCATTCTTCCAAGTATTTTTTCTTCTGTTTTAACAGTGTTCTACTTTGTGTAAAGAAAACTGAAGGCATTAAAACATTGTAAATATTTTATATTTGACTGATTTACAGCAGCTGTGCACAGTCAAGCAGCTAAAAAGTCAATTTGCAGTCTACACTCACAGCAAACTGTCTCTGTTGGCTGAAGTTTACCAGTTGTGATTCCAACTTTTCATAAACGGCCATTTTATGGATTTTATGGTGAGACCAGCTTTTGTCCATGTGCTGAAAATTATGAGATGGAAAACAATAAATAATAAATTTAAAATACTTTTATTATGGATATCTTTTGAAATAAAGGAGAACATGTGCAAACATCAGATATGGTTATCCAACTCTGAACTTGTAATCTATGAACACAGATTTTGATCAGATCCCTTTGTATTTATTTGTTGTTTATTGCATATCGCACTATTTTTATTCTTTATCCTGCTGCTGTAACAAACCAATTTCCCTTGTGGATCAATACAGTATCTATCTATGAAACCTTATTATCTGATAGCTGAGCTTTCTTTGAGGCCCGTTACACAATCAAAACAATCAGCAGCAGACAGAGTTCATCTCAAAGCTAAAGATGACACTGACCAAAAGTTATTCTCCAGGCTGCAATTTAGCACTAATGTGAAGTAACGTGAAGTAATGTGTTCACTTTAATCAGTAACTAAATGTCTGGAGCCTTAACTCTGGAGTTATTAGAAAGTTATAGTGCTAAGTGCATGTTGAAGGCCTCATGACAGTACTTGACATATTAAAACATGTAACATGTAAAATATGTTGATTTTATGACCTCTTGTGGCCACACTTGTATTTATTTTGATGTATTTTCAGAGGAGGATGCTTCCACAGAAAGATGGACTCTCCCTTTCTCCAGCCAAGGTCTTCAGTATTTTCATTTTCCATCTTCTAATACATTTAAATCGAGGTAAGTTTGATGTTACATGCGTAATATTTTTTATTACAGTGCATATAAATAAAATAGTGCAAATATGTTACATTTGGTACAAACAGTAGTTAATAGTTTGATTTTTATGATTTGTTTCCTGCCTGCAAGTGTTTATTTAATTCTTTAGTGAAATTTCATCAAAATTTTTAAAACGAGAAAGAAAAATAATGCTCTGAGTGTCGTCTTTAACTATATATATACATTCAAACTGGCTGCAGAAATTAATAAACACATCTATCTTTCTTTCTTTCTTTTCTTTTGTCTCCTGTCTACAGCGGAGTCTCAGGTGGTTGGTCCACATCAGCCAGTAGTTGCATTAGTTGATGATGATGTTATTTTACCATGTCACGTGGAGCCTGCAGAGGATGTGACAGCTCAGATATTGGAGTGGACACGATCTGACTTGAACCCAAGATTTGTCCATGTGTGGCGATCCGGTCAGGATCTGGTGAATACAAGAAATCCTTCATACAGGGGAAGATCATCACTGTTCATCAATGAACTGAAGCGTGGAAACATTTCACTGAAACTCTCCAGAGTAAAACTCTCTGATGAAGGAACATATGAATGCAGCATTCCTTTAATGGAGAAAAAATCTTTTGTTAAGCTTGTGGTTGGTAAGTAGATCAGAAAAGAGAACACGCCAAATGCATCAGAATTTTGTAATATTAATAATTTAATGATTGTGAATTACTGTCCATATTAGGAGTTTTTTCACCCACTAACATCTTTTGTAAACTTATTTGCTCAGCATCAGATGCTGCCACCTCACCTGTCATCAGTTTATCAGGGATTGACAAAAACAGAGCAGGAGTGGTGTTACAGTGTGAGTCTGCAGGCTGGTATCCAGAGCCTGAGCTGCTGTGGTTGGACGGTGAGGGAAACCTCCTCTCTGCTGGACCTACAGAGACCCTCAGAGGTCCTGATGACCTCTATACTGTCAGCAGCAGAGTGACTGTGGAGAAGAGACACAGCAACAACATCACCTGCAGAGTCCAACAGAGGAACACCAACCAGAGCAGAGAGACACACATACATGTTCCAGGTTCAACTTATAGTATTGCATTTATGATAGAAACACTTTTTGAACATATGAAGTCCAGATTTATCGTTTTTTTTTTTTTTTAAACCATTTCAGAGGATTTCTTTGAGGTCCCATCCAGTTCTCCCTCAGCTGTCATCATCGGTTTGGCTGTTAGTTTGGCTCTTTGCATCATGCTGTTAATTTTATCAGCTGTTGTTCTTTTATGTAGAAAGAGGAAACGCATGATGAGTAAGTCACTGATTAATTATTCTTTACCTCTACTAGGAATCAAAGTTTTCATTGAGACTCTGATGAGAGTTTTAATATTTTAATCCAAGTTTGGGCATTTCCTTTTTATTTAACTTTAATTTCAAAAAGAACCAACAGAAGGACAAGAGATCACTGTGGGGAGATTTTGCTGAGGATCTTCTGATGACAACAGAGACAGAGAAACAAAATACGAGCAGCTCTTCTACCAAAACTAAGAAGCAGACTTCAAACGTGAGTAGATAAACATGAATAAGTTAAATATCAAGATGTTCATTGTTTTTCAGAAATTAGATGAAATACTAATCTGCTGAAAAAATATGCTGCTTTTTTGCAAATTTGCAGTATAATATTTATTTTCGTTTTTCCTGCAGTGTATAGAAATTGGTGTATTTCAAAAATAAAACTATGAAGACACTCAAAATAAATTTCCTGTGGTGGGAAACTATTTTGTGCAACTTTTTTGTATTTACAGTTTTGAGGGATAAGCCTCTTAAATTTCTCTAACTAGAAATATATGTTAAAAAAACAAAAACAATTTTCAATTTTTTTGTAGTTTATTGCACTTTTTGCAATTTATATAATTACTATGCACTTAATGCATGCATATTATTAAAATCTGGGCTATAATGGTTGTATTGATGTATAGCAACTTGAAATGCTCCCAAAAATGGCTCCACAGCATGTAAAAATATAATATAAGCTCTGGCAGACTTGGTTCTATGGTAGGTCTTAAAGGGTTAAAGGAATGAAGCAGAAACAATGTGTTTCACATTATCATTATTAGATTACGACTTCAGTTATGTCACCAAAGTCGTTTTAGTCAAAATGTTGCTACTGATGAAATTATTTTATATAATCAAACCTTTCCTAGATGGGAACTGGACCGTGTGTGATGACAACACATCACCATTATTGTATTGTATTTAGATAGAAGCTAGCGAGCTAACTTCCTGCTAACTTCTAACTCCGTTAAATGTCATAAATTCCGTTTTCATGGATGCCTGGATGATAAACTCAATTGTTACCCCAGGTATAGCAGAACGCTGATCATTTTATCACAGATGAAAGACTTTAGACCAGGGGTCTCAAACTCAATTTAGCTGGGGGCTGCTGGAGGCAGAGTCTGGGTGAGGCTGGGCCGCATTAGGTCTTCCACAAGAAAGGTATGGTTAAAAAATTCCAATCTTCTCAAATCGCTTCATTTTTATTTTTTAACAGAAAATAGGATGAAAAATAAATAAACAAATGAAGAATTAATAAGAAAATAAATCAATCTGTAATACATAAATAAAACAATAATAAGATATTTTTAGTCAGTGAACTTATCTGTTTTTTTCAGTCTTCTATATCTGCTGTATTTAGATTGAAATGTCTGTATTAACAGTTCTATAACCTTCTTCTGAACATGAATGGAACACTGTAGAAAATGAACTGTTCTTCTGAACATGGCGTCTCTCTTCATCCCTACTCCTTGCTGCTAGAGACCTGGCAGCGTTTCCTCTCGCATAGCCAAGCCAGATTTTGCCTGAGGGAGGAAGCAGTTGAGACCCTCAGTATGTGTTGAAGATGATCATCCGTAACTCTAGACCTGTACTTGGACTTATTGAAGTTCAAAGTGGAGAAGAGCTTTTCGCACAAGAATGTGCTACCAAAAAGGGAGATGGTCCGCTTGAACATTCAGGAAAGCCGAGGGAAACTAGGGCTCAGTTCTCTCAAAAATTGTCCAAGCTTGTCTGCTTTTCCACTCACCTCCCTGAACTTCGCTTTGAGTTCAGAGTTGCACTGCAGCTCAATGAGCTCCATTTGAAGCACAGAAGGGGCTTCTTGCACATCAAAGGAGAAGGGGTCCGCAAAAATTTGAAAGATGGCTCTGTGTGTCTTGAAGCCAGCAAATCTGTGATCAAATTCCTCCTGTAGCCTCAAAATGACATCAACATACTCGTCAGCACTGAATGGTGTGCCTGCATCCACGAGTGCCTTGCATGCTGGGAAATGGCAAAGGTTTGTCTGAGAGAGCTGGGCTTTCCATAGTGCAAGTTTTGTGGAGAATGCTCTCACGTTGTCATAGGCAGCACTGACAAGTTGCCCCTGGCCTTGTAACTTCTTGTTCAGTACATTAAGCTCATGTGTTATATCAACAAGAAAAGCTAAGTCCATGAGCCTTTTGGGATCAGTTAGCACAGGAACACTAACTCCATCCTTCTCCAGGAAGGCTTTCACTTCTGTTCTTGTTGGGAGAAAACTCTGTAAAAACCCAGGAGAAATAAAGACACAATGAGACAAGGTTACTTTTTATGCTTTAACGTGCACACGGGTGAGCTGCTGAGAACAACTCACACCATGCACAGTGGCTTGGCATTTTTTATAGGCACAGAGCACAGAGACAGTGAGAACAGGATAAGAAAATAATAAACAGATAAAATAAACAACTCCATATTGGCTAGTCTAGTCAGCAGAGAGCTGGGAGAAAGATAAAACAATCTGAAACAATATGTCCTTGCTGGGAAAATCTGAAAGACACTTCTAAACTACTTATCTTAAACACAGCTTGTACATTTAAAAGAAGGTAAAGTTACATAGAATCATTTTTCCTCTAACATATTCCCTCCTGTTTTAACTTATTTTAAATGTTTACAACAGTGTCTGAAAAGGTCATTGATTAAGTATGTTTAGCAAGTTTTAAATTGTGAGCATAGCAAAAATGTAAATCATGTGGTAAAAGAATAAAAGAATTAAGGAAAATACAGTAAAAGAAAGTATAAAAGTAATAATGAAGAAAAATAATAAAACTAAAACTACAAAAAATAAAATAAAAGAATAAGAAAACCTTATGTTGTACCTGTATAAACTACTAATGTGTTAATCAGTGCATGATCACTTGACAAGTCATTTTTAATCACCACGTCATTTATTAGCAGCTATTACAAGTTCCTCTAACAGAATTGCAACGGGATGCTGTTCTTCTTGAGGCACGGCAACATAAGCAGTCATTGTAGTTGTTATCATCTTTGAAATCATTACTCTTAGACATGGCAACACACACAACACTAATATGAGCAGTGCTATCATGATGAGACCTAGAAGGACAAACGGTTTTGCTACAGCAGCCAGCCATGAACCGCCGAACAGCCAGTCCAGCCAGCCTTGTGCTGTAGCTGCTCCAGGTGTGTGGTCAGTGACATATTGTTGCAGAACGGTCAAATTCTGCAAAGCTTCATAAATGTCTCCTCCAGCTTCGTATCCATCAGGGATAAAAGTGCAACATGTCTCCCCGATCAGCTTGCAAACTCCTCCTTGTGATGCTGTTAGCAGGTCCAGTGTCAGTCTGTTCTGCAGCACCATCGTTCTGATGGCCTTCTGTTCTCCTGCTAAGGCCGTTCCCAGGGTCTTAGTTAAGTTGATGTGTCGTAGCAGAGCATATCGGTTGATTTCCACGTGATCCCGCACCTCGGCAACTCCAATGCCGGGGATCAAGCTCTGTAAGAATTTCACTCCTCCTCCCCAGATGCGAAACTCTCCCGGCACTCCAGTGTCCACTGTAATGCCGAAAGAATTGGGTGAGGCGATGTCCACTTCACGTCTCTGTCGGCTGCTTGGGTGATGTGCAACACTTTGCATGAAGAAGACGTGATCTGATAATTGCACCAGGGCGCACAGACCCCCCCAACCTTCAGGGAGTGACAGATAAGCCTTATTGCCACATAGGAAGTACCAGTCAGCCAAAACTCTGGTTCCTCTACTGCTGGGTGCCGTCCGTGCACATCCTGTCTGGTACTGAGTCTTTGTTTGTAGTGGCATTCGGTAGCTGTAGTCGGGGCGACAGTTGAGGCTCATCAGCGTCGCGTTACTGGCACAGGTTGTGTTGGTTGAACAGGCCATACACTTCCTCTCATTCCTCGGTGGGCAGAAAGTGTATATGTATTTACATAGGTGAGTAGGCAGCTCCCCCACTGCCCGCGATCCGTTGTTCATCACACATACTGGCAGTTGTGATGCGTTCAGTTTGTTCAGTAGAATTACATCAGGCAGTGGGTCTGAGACTTGGGGCCAGGTCAGTAGGTAGGTCTGTCCGGAACAGTTCACATTTGTGGGTGATGATGACCTCCAGGTTGCTTTTGCTGGGATGCTGTAGTTGGCCTTGGACCAAAGAGTACCGTAGCCTGGATGTGTTGCCAGGCCCAACAGGCACCAACTGCGATCTTCAGGTATGCTGTACGGCCACAGGCCAGACGTCTGTGAGGATAGGGGCATATGGGTACATGCATAGCAGTCAGTTTTATTATTCAGGTGAGCTGTAGTGTTCATAAGCTGCCACCAGAAGTTAGTGGCGTAGCCATGGGGAAACTTGGTGTACTTTCCTTTGTCATACAGTGTCTGCCTTTTCTTCAGATAGCGTGACTTGTTGTCCCTCACGGAAGCAAAGATGAGGAGCCCGGCCAGGGTCAGGGCCGCTGCAGTTATTAGGAGCCACCACCTCATGACAACAGGACACACCCTCCTGTCGTGAGTAGACCCCCCGGCCAGAAAGGCTGTTCCCTCCACCGGGCGAGATCACAACAATTGGGCGAGCCTGTGTCGCTGAGTTTAGATGGCTTCACTTACTCGCCTGCAGTGACTCTGATGGATCCAGGATGGTCGTTCCGCAATTTTGCAAGCGGTGGGCGTGGTGAGGAGAACCTGATGTGGTCCCTCCCACCTGGGTGCGCTCCAGTTTTTCCTTTGGAGCACCTTGATCAGAACCCAGTCACCGGGCTGTAATCTGCAAGACACTGGAGAAACATCATCAGGTTGTTGATTATGTACAATGATCTCTTTGTTTTCTAACAGCTTAGACATCCATTCTGCTAATGTGTTTTCTCTGATTGATTTGTCTATTGGTTGACTGGTGATGGGCAGTGGGAACGGCCTACCATGAATGATTTCAAATGGAGTTAGTTTATGGGAGCCTTGTGTTAAGCGCATCCACATTTTCACTAAACCCAA